CGAAATTTGGACAATTTTCGACAGGTAGGTGTCGAAATTTGGTTTTTTTTTTTATTTTTTTTTCTTTTTCGACACGTTGGTGTCAGAAAATTGACCAAAAAATCGACCTGTATGTGTCGAAAATTGCCGACGGGTTTCAAAAAAAAAAAACTTCAAAATCGACTTCGAAGCTCAAAAAAGACATCGATACTTACCTTAATGTGTTCTCCTTTCATATATACTACCATATTATTGTCTTATAACTCAATTTTATACGTTTTGTGAGGTTTTAATTTCTTTAGTTTTGATATTTTTTAGAAGGGTTTGTTGTGAGATTTTTTAGAAGGGTTTGTTGTGAGGAAGATTTTTTAGAAGGGTTTTTGGGGAGGGAGAAGAAGGAGGTGGAGAAGGAGGGAAATGGTTTTTTGAGTTTTTGATCATTTGGTATTTAAGAAAGAAAAATAGTATTTGTAATATTTTTTTAGTTTTAATTTCATTAAGGGTATTAAAGTAATTTACAATTAATTATTTATTTTTTATTTTTTTGGTATTCAAGTAAGCAAAAGTTGGGATTTGAAATAGTGATCCCCCTTTCAAATTCATGTGTCTAGCACGTGAGTGAAAATAAATTTGAAATGGCTAATATACCCTTACTTACTAATTAGGATTTTGTCATAAAATATATGAAAACGTTAATTTTTAACTACAGGGTGCATTTTGTTAAATTACTCTTAATTTGAGGGTGCACATTGTCTTTTTTCATTTGTGAGGGTGCATATTGCTACCATTGTTATATTTTAGGGTGCAAAATGATTTTTAGCCTTAATTAAAGTGAATTTAATTTAATCAAATTCGTGGCATTAATAAAAGTGGATTATGTGGATAAAAAAAAAAATTTGTGTTATTTCGCATTTTGAAAAAGAAATCATGGGATTCTTTTCCTTTCGGTAATAAAATAACTCAAGATTTAAAAATAAACAAAAATTAAATTGTGAAAGTAATAAATTTGATTAATAATGTTTGCATGTGGTATACCTGATGAGATACATGGAGTAATTTTGCATAATAGATCTACGCACAATCATACATGTATGGTCACATATTACTCAATGAAGTTCATCGATTGTGACATTAAAAAAAAAAAAAAAAGTTCATCGATTGTGACATTAAATAAATCGTGATTTCACTTCTCTCTTTCTTTTTTGTAACTAAATGAAGTTTATTTAATGAATTCCTTAACTTGATTCGAGATCATTCCATAAAAGTTCATCTAACCATGATTTTTTAACACAACGTGTCAAGTTTGAACATATACTTTTTAAGAAGCTATAAAGAACAGCTCGAGTTCGAGCTCGATGTTCAACTAAATTATAGCATCTTCGAGCTCGATTCGGTTACTTATCAAACAAAATTTTAACTGTTCGATAAAAATTCAGATAAATTCAAACAAACTTAATTTCAACACAACGTAATTCGCCTATCTGCAAGAGTATCAAATAGTGTAAATAAATTCGAATCAAGCTGCAACTAATTGCTATTATCTTATCTATCAAATCTTCCAATCCAAACATAATTTTCAAAGTCGGATGCAAAATTATTCTCTCCTTCTCTTTTCCTCTAAACAAAACCGGAAGTTAAATCGTCTGCTTCATATAACTTTCATAGTCAGATGCATTCACCACTAAACATGTAAAATAGCAGAATTAAAAACAAAGTGTCAAAAACCAGCAAGACATATAAGATAAACACAGATAGAATTCAAGTCGAAAAATTCCAACCGCCAAGGTGTCGTTTTACGTTTAAAAATAGGAAACATTTCAAGAAATCCAAAAAAGAAAAAAAGGAAATAGCAAGGCATAAAACTATCTATCTCTTTCTCTCAGTGGTCAGCAGGCAACGATTTGATGATGTCCGAGTCACCTACATTGTTGAGTGTAAGAAATTGATGACATCAGCAAACGAGAAAAAATATGTTCGAATAAGAAAGTTTACTATAAAATCAAAAGGGTTTCATTTAGTTACCTGGATCGACAATGCTGAGGCATGAAACACGGAAGTACTTTCCACAAGCAGTTCCCAAGTCAACATTATCTGGCAATAATTTGTAACAAGTGAGAAAAACAAAAAAAATTATAAAATTCTCGTTTTCATTTTATCACTCTCTTGTGTGTGTGTGTGTGTGTGTGTGTTTGTGTGTGTGTGTGTGTGTGTGTGTGTGTGTGATATTAACTACAATCTCCTCAAGCTTAAGGTTTCTCCGCAAAGACGAAATGTAACAAGTGCACACAGTGAAACAAGTGCAAAAATGTTAAACATGATTATTATTACAGAAAATTTTGATAAAAAGTCGTTCTAAGAGCTAAAAAACGGAGAGAAACCAAATGATCGAAGTGCATCACACCAAATAAGCAATTATGTACGACAAATTTAAGGTCATAAGAGAGAGAAAAAATAGTTGTAAGATCGTCACATATCAAGGTACAGTCAACTAGATAGCTATCAAAACCTATTATAAACATCAAAATTAACACTCGAGTATAATTACGAAACACCACAAAATAAATCCCAGCATTTAGAATGTCAAATCATAATGTAGAACCCCATTCGTTCAATACAATCAAACCAATAGGTATCACCAAAAAAATCCAATTAAACAAAAACTAGGATAAAAATGAATCACATCACAAATTCAGCACACTTACTTCCATTGTAGTGATGAACACCAACTTTGGAGAGCATAGCGTAGTACTCAATTTCCGATTTCCTCAACGGCGGGCAGTTGTTCGAGATAAGAATCAATTTACCTAATTAACAAAATGAACACAATTAATTATAAAAAAATCAAAACAAACATTAATCCGAACAGATTTAACATAAAATAAAAAAAAAAAAATCGAGAAATCAGCAAAAAAAAAAAGGTACCTTTGGAATTGCGGAGGGTTTTGAGTACGGTCTTGTAACCAAGGGTGTACTTTCCGCTCTTCATCACCAGAGCGAGCCTGTTGTTGATGCTCTCATGGGTCTTCTTCTGCGGAGAAAAAAAAACAGTACAAAATTTGAGAAATGAACAGAAATGAAAATGAAGAAGGAAAATGGTAGATCGGTGATCGGAGATTGAGCGGTGGCGGATAAGGATCCGTACGGTTTTCTTGGCGGCGACCATTTTTGCTGGAAGTCTGGTTTCGGGAGTTTAGCGGCGCGAGGGAGGTTGATGAAGACGATTGTGAAACCCTAATTTACGATTGTAGATAGATACATGGCAAGGGTTTTTCATAGAGCTGTAAAGTTTGCGGAATTTACAAGCGCATCCCTTTAGTTTTAAGAAATTGTCAAATACTACCCCTAGTTTGTAAGTTTTGTTACTTAAAAAGTCTTTTTTTCTTCATTATTATTTGTTAGTAAAACAAAGTATATATTTTTTTCTCAAAAAAGAAAAAAAAAAAAGAAAAGTAAAGCCAAAGTATAAATTTTAGAATGTTATAAAGAACTAGTTTTTTACTTTTTAGCACCAAAAATTATAAATTTTATTTTAGACTCCCAAATTAAAATTCACATATACCCCAACATTAGTTTCAGTTAATGACCAATTGGCTAGAAGTTGAACGCTAATTTTATTCGTCTAAGTAAAACTCCGCTTATAAGATTGTAGATTTATAGCACACATACACATGGGTATGTGTTTTATTACGTCCATATCAATAGTGTAAAACTACATAATTTCACCAGATGTAGATTCTACAATACCGTAAAACACCGTCTTTTTCAATTTTAATTAACAAAATTTTTGACAAAACAAAAAATCCACTTTCTTTTCCTTATCAAACAATTTTTTTTTTTTGAAATAAATCAAACAATTCAATGCTCACATTATTATCTTATTTTGTCAAACAAATAACACTATCAAAACTTCTATAGTAATCATATAACGCATTTAACACGGAATAAACGACGTACGAACCACAATCGCAAGATAAAGAGTCGAGTCAAGATATAAAGATAACAACAGTACAGCTACAAAGTACATACAACACCAAACATGAATTAAGGTGTCCTCTAATCTCAAGTTAATGCAATCTTAAACATATATCCTCAATTAAGTCTCTCTCTCTCTCTCTCTCATCCATCAAAATAAAAAAGGCTATTGTTTACGAAAGATAGAGATTTTAAAACTCAGCCTCAGCCCCAAAAGCAAATCCCATGAAATAACACGAATGCCATCACTGAACCAGCAACGAGCAGCAACACCTGCAGACCTGCATAAGACGTAATTATGATAATACTTTCTTACCATTTTAACTTTCACATTTTTTATCACTAATTCGATTTTGATCTCTCCTGCCATAACACATCCTAATTAATATTCTTCCCCTGTGCCTTGAGCTTTGCTGCAACTTGTTCGTCGGATAATGGCAAGTAGTAAATTCGAGGGATTGCTTTGGTTTTCCGGAAAAGATCGTCCAGGGTAACTATCGGTGGGTCCACCTTCTCCGACAGTGGGGGCGGCGGTGGAAGGTTAATCCGGTCCCTTGACAGTTGCAGGCGTTCTCTAGCAAGAGGTGGATTCGACAGCATAGGTGGTGGCGGTGGTGGAAGAGTAGGCGGTGGAAGCTGATGCCTCTGGATTTGCTGACGTGGCGAAGGCTGCGGTGGCACGTTGGGTTGGTGGGGTTGAGTAGTAGCGAAGGCAGGAACTGCACTTGTCGAAGGTGTTAAGGGGGATGCAAGAGGGGCCTCTACACGGGTTTTGACTTCTTGGGGGTCAACGAATTCTGCTAGCAACAAACGGCCCCCGTTTGGGGGCCACTGGAGATTGTATACAGCATTACGGGTTTCTAGCGCCTCTTCGACCGATGAATACTGCATATGAAGTAAATATCTAGTAACTAACCATACTACATCACATTAAAGGAGCTCTAACGTAATATATATATATATATATATATATATATATATATATATATATATATATGCATCCATGCATTTTATTTGCACCGCAAAAATAATTTACTGACAGACAAAACTTACTGAGACATAGCAGTGGGTTTTGATCTGATCCATCCAGAAACTAGTAACAGTGCCAGTTTTGCCAAGAAGTTCTTGCACTGCTTTTAGTGTGAAAGGACGCAAAAACCGATCAATTCTGAGAGAATTGCTAGGAGGCTTGGATGATGGTGGAACTGTGTGTAAAGCAAACAAACACAACAATGCAGTTCAGAGAATGAAAAGATGTAGCAAAGAGTTATTACTGTAGCGATGAAGAACTCCGGAAATTACCATTACGCTCCTTGGGCGATGATGCTTCATTAACTGTGGTGATTGAAGCAGGTCCAGATAAACTCTTAGGGGTTACGGGAGTCGCTATGTTAGCGCTGTGCGGCTCAGAACCCTTTAAGCTTTCGGCATTCCACCTGCGCTGCTTCTTCACAGTGTCGTTATTCGCAACTGCTTCTTTATCTGGAATATTTATAATCACAAGTCAATAAAATTGGCAGCTTATAAAAAAAAAGGTATATGAAACACAAATACGAAAGTT